TTTCATTGTTATATACCACTGGGTAAAATTTAAAAAAAAATCCAAGAGATGACTGAAATGACTGTCACAGTTTTAAATGGAATTACCACAAACATATTTAAAAATCAATATTAATATTCAAAAATCAATGAAAAAATCAAATTTAAATTAAAAGAAAAAATACACTAAAGCTTAACCTAAAGTATAAAAATTATTAAAGCAAATAACTTTTCATATAAAAAATAAAGAAGCAACTGCCCCTAAGTCAGAAGCAGTTGATTAAAAGAGGCTCGAGGCCCTGACCTGTTTTACTCCCAACAAAGAATGTATATGTAAACACACCAATGAATACTCAGTCATTAAATTGAACTGATTTATTGGGCAGGTAGGGATACTTAGACGTGGTGAAAGCAACTTACCAAGATAAATAACTCTGATGTAAAACCCCTTTATTAATTACCAGTAAGGGTAAGAGGATTTTGATGGAAATCCTCCTAATGATCTTTGATGGAAACCCTTCTAATATTAGTATCATAACAAAAATACTCAGTCCTGATTTAAGGTTAAGGTTAACCAGATGGCCATTTTAAGTCTGCCATTTTAAATCTGGTTGTAAAAATTTGCTTTAACTCTTTAAAAATGTCATAATGAAAAAAAAAAAAAAATTTTTTTTTTTTTTTTTTTTGGTTTTTTAAATTTTGTTTTGTAACACTAAAGTTTGTTAACAAAAAAATACTTTATGCTACAAAAGTATTACTTTCAACATAATTTTAAATTAAATTGTCACTTTTTTTTTAACAAAAACACTTAACACAGTTTTATGGTAAACAACTCATGTTCCAATTAAAAGGTTAAAATAATGTTGTTTAAATTTTTTATTTAATATAATTAAATTGTCATAAAATTAATAACTAAACATGAAAAAATTTTAATTTTAAAAGATTATTGTAATTTACAGTATCGTCCACAATTATTTTTGTCGCGTCCACAATTATTTTCGTCGCGTCCACAATTATTTTCGTCGCGTCCACAATTATTTTCGTTTGTCCATAATTATTTTTAAATCAAAACACTTTAAGCCATAATGACTAACAACAACTCAATAACCCAAATATCGAAATGGCTGAACAAACAAAAAACAAAACAGCAACGGAAGAAAATATTGCTACAATAAAAAGAATGTTGATTGGCAACGAATCAAGTCAATCTATTGCAAATGCAACAGGTCTTTCAATTAGGACAATACAAAACTGGATACGAAAGCTTGAAGCAGACCAAAATATAATACCAAAAAAACGTGGCAGAGCTGCACGAAATAATATTGAAAGAAAGAGAGAAATCGAGTTATTAATTAATGCAAATAATGCATTAAACTACTATTGACATTGCAGAGTTAATGCCAGAAGAACATAAATGCTCGACAACTACAATCAAAAGAGAACTAAAACAAATGGGATATACCCGTAAAAGGCTTAAATCGATCGTTGTTGCAAGAAATTCAGCTCAAGTAATAACAACGAGGTTTGTGTTTTGCAATCATGTTTCTTTTCTGCGTAATTCAGATCTGGTCTATATTGATGAAACCGGGTTCAATCTGCATGATTCACGACATTATGGATATGCATTATTAGGAAGCACTAATATGCGCTATTTCAGTTACAGGGTGTATTGGATTTAAACTAAAGATTGGAGCCTTTAATACAACTAGCATGCACGACTGGATAGAACAAGATTTAAGATCAGTTTTAAGTGATCGCAGATATGTTGTAGTAATGGATAATGCGCGATTCCACCATTCATCAATAGTAGAATCGGCATTTCGAGAAAGTAATTGTACTATCCAGTTTTTACCACCTTACAGTCCTCAACTTAATCCTATCGAGGAGTTTTTTGGCGTGGTTAAAAATTTATTTAAAGGAATACAACCGCGGCCTAACAACTCACAAGAATTGATTAGAATTATTACTGAGATTTTATCAGGTTTTACCGAATATTCTTTTGAGAATTATTATTCTCACATGCGTGAGTGGATGTTAAAAGGAATTCAACGTAATGAATTTATTTGATTAAATTATACTTGGATTTTTTTCTTGATTTCAAAAATTTTAAAAAATAAAGTGTTTTGATTTAAAAATAATTATGGACAAACGAAAATAATTGTGGACGCGACGAAAATAATTGTGGACGCGACGAAAATAATTGTGGACGCGACGAAAATAATTGTGGACGCGACGAAAATAATTGTGGACAATACTGTATTACCCTTTAATGCTTTGCAATGCATATCCAGGTTGTTTGTAAATGTTTGTCTTTAATAATTTTTTCTAACTAGTCAACCGGTAAGAACTCATTTTGAGAAGTCAAAACAGCAATTTTGATCATTTCAGGCGTATATGTATATATATATATATATATATATATATATATATATATATATATATATATATATATTTATATATATATATATATATATATATATATATATATATATATATATATATATATATATATATATATATATATATATATATATATATATATATACGTCCAATTTGAGAACTAGCTGATTTATGAATTGATGAAATCTGCAAGTTTCACGAATTATGCAATGTTGTTGATGAACTCTCAAAATACACAAAATTGAGCAAGACTGGAAGATGACTTTACAGTCTGTGGAAGTACAGCACTCAATCATTAAAGGAATCACAAAGTGCAGAGACAAGTTGTGTTCATTTTAAAGAGAATGATAAAACAAAATGTTTGGTCAGAATTTTTTTAAGTAAAACAAAATAATAAATGTATACCAAGAAAAACAAACTTTTTTGTTTTACTAGAAGTTTGCCATCTCCATGTTAGCCAATCTCTCAAAGTCTTAAAAATAAAGGCTGCAATTTACAGACTTAATAATATATTAAAGTGTGATTAATTTCAAAGAGTTTTAGTAAATGATGTCATTGTAGAATTATCTTTGTTATATATTTTTTGAAATTTTAACTATTGTGAGCCATGTTTAATTGTTTTATTGCCACTAATTATTTTATTTTTATAAAAACATTAAAATCTGATAAAAAATATATGATTTAATTTAAAACTAATTTAATAAAAATATATAATTTTATTCTGATAGAGGTCATTCAAAATTTAAAGTGACTTTTTTTAAAAATTAATTACTTCTTTTATCTAACCGTTTATAGTATAATTTAAAAGTGAAAAAAATGATAAAAAGTCTCTTGACCAAAATCGCTTACTGCTTACGTAAAAATTGCTTAAGGTGTACGTAACGCTTTAAAACAAGATTTGCATATATATATTTTTGTGTGCATATATATATATATATATATATATATATATATATATATATATATATATATATATATATATATATATATATATATATATATATATATATATATATATATATATATATATATATAACCCTCAGAATTAGGAAAAATGAGGAAAAAATCTCAATCTGTTAGAGGTCAGCTTTTGATCAGCCAAAAAAATTTGACACAAAGAGGTTACGGTAATTTTTTGCCGACCTCAAACACTTTTAGGTTGGCATTGCCAAATGCCAACCCTAATTCCAAGGGTTATATATATATATATATATATATATATATATATATATATATATATATATATATATATATATATATATATATATATATATATATATATATATATATATATATATATACTCATATAGTGTCGCTTTAAGAGCATTTTAATGTAAAAAAAGTCTCTTACGACTACAATTTTAATTACCTCGTCTCTTAAGCTGTTTTTGATTGTCATCGAAATGTCAAAGCAATTAATTTATGCGGAAGTACATTAAATTTAATTGTTTTTTAAAAAATTTTTAAAAAACCGCAATTATAACGACTAGAAAGTTTTTTTTAATTAGTGGTGTTTTTGTTATTGATTTAATAAAAAACATTTTTTAAACATGCGTAAATGTTGCTACATCGACTATCTTATAGCCTGACTCGCAACGGAGTGCTGCTACATCGACTGACAAATAGCCTGACTCGCAACGGAGTGCTGCTACATCGACTGACAAATAGCCTGACTCGCAACGGAGTGCTGCTACATCGACTGACAAATAGCCTGACTCGCAAGGGAATGCTGCTACATCGACTGACAAATAGCCTGACTCGCAAGGGAGTGCTGCTACAACGACTGACAAATAGCCTGACTCGCAAGAGAGTGCTGCTACATCGACTGAGGGTTTGGTTTGGCCAGGCAGTCTATCAATTAAAAAAAAAAATTTAATTTTTAAAACTTTTTCTGGTCTGGTTTATTAACGCGCTCTTTAAAACTACAGTTTATGGGAAATATTTTTTGATGCTACGCAAGAGACATGCAAGACTATATATATAAATATATATATATATATATATATATATATATATATATATATATACACACACACACACACACATTACATAATTTCACTAAGCAAAAATAACTGATAATGACTCACAATGTTTTAGATTTAGCATATAAACTTGCTTATGCTATTGGTCAAAAATTGACTCAGTAAATAACTTGTAAAATAAATTTTTATGTGAAATTTACAAAGATTTCAAAATAATAGTTAATAACTAAGATTTTTTTTTTTTTCTTAACAATTAATTTATTAATTATTAATTAATAGTTAACAAAAAAATAATTAATTTCTTAATTAATGCTAGTCAAAATGATATATTGTGACGAAAGCATTTAGATTAAATGCTCTAAAACTATATATATAAAATACAATTACTTCTTATAAAATACATAATTCATAAAAAAAAAGTTCATTTGTAATTATTTTAATCCAGGTTATTTTAAATCATACTGTTGTTAATTTAAAGAATATTTTTTAGGATTTGATACATTTGTTAAATATGTATATATAAAAAAACATAAATAGTTCAATAGTTCATAAAAACAAATTTGTAATTGTTTCCAGGCTTTTTGTTGAGAATTTTAATATGAATACAATTAGAAAAGTATATAAAAATTGATGAAGCTACCTGTAAACTTATTAATACTAAACAAATTAGACTCCAAGCTGTACTGCAAAGGAATGTTTGGTACAGTATCTTCATCAAAAGCTTCAACTTGGCCAACAGTCATTCCTGTGTATGCTGGAAGATTCAAGGTAAAGGTATAACGTCTTTTGAAGAAAGGTATTTTATCATTGATGTCCATAAGGTAAATGCTGACAGGAACAATAACTGAATGTTGAGGAGTTCCTTGATCACTGACTTTTACGTAAAAAGAGAAATGCTTCGGATGTAGCTCATAATCTAAAACCTGCATTTAAAAGTATATTTAAAAAATTATGCATTGATACTCTTATTTCCTTATTTTAATGATATGTTAAGGTAAAAATTGGCTGTTTTTTTTTTTAATTTTAACAAAAGTTTATTAGTATTAGACTTAGGAGAAAAACACACATATTTTTGTGCTTTTGTTGTTTCCGGGCTCTAATAACTGCAATTTTTTCAAAAACATTCTCATTTGATATAAGCATAAACATACTTAAGTTATAAGTTTCTTCATTTCTCAAACACCAAAAAAAAGCTGCTGCTAGCACTAGCATAGCAACCCAAAAAGTAAGAGATTGTCTGTTGCAAAACAAAATATGAGATTTTATGTTGCAAAATAAAGTTAGAAATTGTCTGTTGCAAAACAAAGTAAGAAATTGTCTGTTGGCAAACAAAGTAAGAGATTGTCTGAGATTGTCATCTCCCCAAGATGGTCACTACAGCCAAATTGGCTTTTTTTATTATGTTTTTTTTCTTAATTGTTCCTATCAACCTTTTAACTCTGAAAAAAAAAGCCATGAGGAACATGGTCGCAACTAGGCTGGAGCATTATAAGACCGCAGCATGGAGAAACAAATTGACATTTTGTAAGAACAATATAAGAAAATTGGCTAATACCAATGAGTGGTAAATTTTGGTGTCATCAAGTCTTCGATTAACAGGTCACAATTAAAAAATTAGGTTGGATTTAAAAAGATATAACTCTTTCAAAAAGATAAAAAAAAAAGTAGAATACATTTAGAACTTTTATTCTAGTTTTTATATATACAATCAGTAATTTTCAATTAAGTCATTCCTTCTGACATTATCCAGAAAGCCTGGTATAGACTGAGCACAGCTCTGTATGAGCTCAATTTCAATTGTTTTAAGACAAAACCTGATCAACAACATAATTTACAAGATTTTCTGCAAATTCTAGCCATATCTTATAGGTCAGACAAAAAATAGTCCAAATATTTTCTATAGGACAACAATCTGGCAAGTTTGCAAGGTTATCCTCCATCTCTATATATTGCACTTTTTTTGTTTAAGTATTTTATAAATGTTTTTGCATAGTGAGGTGATGTTAAATCAAGCTAGAGGTCATATGCACCATCTGAATAATACTTGATAAATGGGATAAGTCACTTCTTAATACATTTATTTAAATTTTATTTTGAATTATAAGGAGCCCACATTTTCAGAAAAACCATCTACAGAAGTAATTTTGTATATAACTGTAGGTGGAGTAGATTTTACATCACTAATATAAAATATATCGTTGATACTGGAATAATTTAATGTGAAAAAAAGACGATTCAACAATTGGTTTTCAATTTTTTAATTTTTGACACAATTGACTGTACTAGAAGTTGGTAAGAACATTTTGGAATACATATATATTTTTTTTTTCTTTACATTTTGTCTTTGTTTTTAATAATTTACTAATGCATTGCTAAATACAAGTAAACTTTTGAGCTGCCTGTTGTTGAAACTACGCAATTATGGTCAAACATAAATTTGAACCTGTTAATGATTCTCTTAGTCATTTTTTTAACCTTTCTTTGGCTTCCTTAGACATTTTGGTACACAGATTTACTCTCAGCACATTTAATTATCCTATAGATAATGCTTTCAGGTATCCCCTCAGTTTTAAAGTGATCATAAGTGAACTTTTCATCTCTCGATTTTAAAGTGAACATAAGTGAACATGTTTATCTCTTGATTTTAAAGTGAACTTTTTATCAAGATGTCTATAATTTAAGTAAAACTCATACACACGTTTTTTTAATCAATTTTTATTTTAGATTTATTTATTTTTTTTATCCATTTTTTTATAAAAAAAAAAATATTTATAAAATAAAAAAAAATACATTCTAAAACATTTCTCCTTTTTGTTTTACCTTATACTTCAAGGAAGTTATCTCTTTAAAACCAGCCTTGTTTTTTAGTTGTGACTTGCTATTGAAATGGCATTTGAAAAACATAATTTAAATAGAGAAGTGACTTTAACATAAATACAGTTTCAAAATATCCACAGGAAGCATGAATTTTACATAAGCTGGACAATGGTTTTCTTAATTATTCTCACTGACTGATATTAGCAATACAATTTATATCTTTATATGACCAAATAAAAGACCCAGATTTAAGCTCAATTACTTAGATAACATACATTCCAAACCTGTGTTACTGCATGGTTCCTATATTTACATTTTAATAGTAGGGTTTAAGAATATAAAATTTGATTTAGAAATAACAAAGTCCTGATTTTATATGCTAAATAAAAACGCTATATATATTTTCTAGATGCGATTTGCAAAATAATTTTTAATTCAACCTGCTATATAGAACAGATATATCTATACAACAGATATATCTTATATAACTGTACTAGATACATCTCATGATTAAAAAAAACAATAAAATAAATAGTTACCTTGTTTGTTCTAATCTCACCAGATATTTCATCTATGGTAAAATAAATTTTTCCGATATTACCAATAATTGAATAACGCAACATTCCGTTTATACCTTGATCTTCATCTGTGGCACTTACAATCAAAGAATTACCATCTTTATCAAGAACATTTGAATTACTGCTTAAGCTTTCAGATACATTTCCAGTATAAGATTTCTCCTTTACAAATGGTATATTATCATTACGATCAAGAATGTTGACATGTATGTTCATTGTAGTTACAATATTTTGATTTAGTGCCCCATTTATAACAAAAACACATTGTGTTATTTTTTCTGAATCAATATCTGACTGCAATAGGGTAAATAGATTAATAAAACATTGAAATTAAAAAGTAACTTGATAATCAAAAAATAGAACAGCATAGTAAAAAAATGTAAAGAAATTTTCAAACAACTTTTTTAAAATATTACTTTTAACTAAACTTATTACCAAAACTATTTTAAAATTACCTTGATGAAAATAGTTCCTGTAAAAGGCTCGACCCAAAATAAATTGTAACACTTATCATCATTTTCAGCAATTTCATAACTAACAGCAGTTGATTCTACTCGAATACTATCAGTAAGCATAGTTCCAGGTGCAACGTTTTCACTTACAGAACCAGTTAAGTTGCTAATTTTAAACCAAATGTTGTTAGGATCTGCTACGATTGTTATCTATATAAAAATATGTATAGATAAAAATTAAATAGTATAAAATGAATTTTATAGTTTAATTGAAAATAATAACCATAAAATAAAAATATATATAAGATTATATAAGATAAAATGTATAATAATAAAAAATATCAAATCATTGTTCAAAAACATCTCACCTTAACATAAGCATTACCAACAAGTTCTGGAATACCGTGATCTTTCCCAATCAATTTTAAACTAATTGTCTTTCCAGTCAGTAAATTTAACTTTGATTTTACATAAATAAACCCATATGTTGTATCCACATCAAAATAATCATTATTTTCTTCGAAACTGTACGACACTTTACCATTTAAACCTGAAATTTTAGATATATAATTAAATATAAATCTAATTATTATATACACATGATATATGTATATAACAATTAGATTTATATTTAAATGGTAAAGTGTATATAATATACTAATATATATATATATATATATATATATATATATATATATATATATATATATATATATATATATATATATATATATATATATATATATATATATATATATATATATATATATATATATATATATATATATATATATATATACATACATATATACACTGACGTAGAAAGGTTTTTAAAATGTTTGAAATAACCAACTTTTAAACAAAAAGAATATTCCAAATTTTTTTTACGTTTATATATAGGACTATAAGAATCTTCTCAAAAAAAAATTACTGTGATAGAAAATTACTAGACTTATATTCATCAATAAATTTTAAATTTCTTAGTAAAATATTTTAGCGTTCAAAAATTATGACCATATAAAGTTTAAACCCTCCTCAATTTGAGGGGGGTACAAACTTTATATGGTCATAACTTTTGAATACTAAAATATTTTACTATGAAATTTAAAATTTCTCGATGAATTTAAGTCTTGTTGAAAATAGTATAGAAAATATTTCATCAACATGTTGCTCTCACATTTGGGGCAAGGGGGACTAAGTTTCTTGTTCCCATTCTCCTATCACAGTAATTTTTTTTTGAGAAGAATCTTTTTGTCATACATATAAACGTAAAAAAATTTGAAATATTCTTTTTGTTTAAAAGTTATTTATCTCAAACATTTTAAAAACCTTCCTACACCAGTGTATGTATATATGTATATATATCTATGTATATATCTCTATATCTATCTATATATCTATATATATATATATATATATATATATATATATATATATATATATATATATATATATATATATATATATATCTATATCTATATATATATATATATATATATATATATATATATATATATATATATATATATATATATATATATATATATATATATATATATATATATATATATATATATATATATATATATATATATATATATATATATATATATATATATTATTCTTATATACACTCTGTTGTGAGTCAGGCTTTCTAGTCATTATTATTGCGGCTTTTTTAAAAATATATATATACATACAATTTTTTATGAGTATTACCTATATCTTTATCAACAGCATAAACAACCATAACAGTACTATGAACAGGTGTAGTATTAACAATAGTCAATTCATAAACTTCACTTGTAAATAAAGGTTTGTTATCATTTATGTCTTCTAAGGATATTTGCACACAAAATGCAGTTTGTTCAACTGCATTGCTTGCAACAACAGTCATTAAAAACTCTGATTTTAATTCTCTATCTAATTCTATTGGTTGAACAATGATTGAACCATCATTCTCACCAACTGTGAATGGAAATGAATCATCAAAATTGTTTATTGTTTGATATTTAAAATCTGGATTAAGATTGTCTGGATCTATTACTAAAAAAAAAAGATTTAATTTACAAATTGAAAAAAGTTTCTATAAATATTTAGCTTGATTTTTTTTTTTTTAATAATTACCACAAATTTATTAAAGCTTAGGTTTGCAAACCACATAACCAATAAATAAAATAATTACCAAAAATTTATTCAAGCTTAGATTTGCAAACTACATAACAAATAAGTAAAATAATTATCAAAAAATTATTCAAGCTTAGATTTGCAAACCACATAACAAATAAATAAAATAACAAATAGATAAACAAACAACACTGAACATTCTAAATAAATCTAAAAACATCAAAATGCAAGTACCATAATCTAATAATTAAATTTTTTTCAAAATTATTAGGGTTTTACGCCTCTAAAACAATTTTTGTTAAAAGAATACAACTTTGAAATGAAAAAATGAGATCTTTTATGATAAAATTGAGATAAACTTGAGAGTTAACAATATAACGGCAATGCAATAAATATAACAGTTTAACATGTATTGAAATTCCTTATAAAATAATTCAATCATTTCAAAGTTTACAATAATCAAAAATTTTTAAAAAATGAGAGAAAAAGACTACTTGAAACTCTTTATACCAAACTCAATTACACTTTCTTAAGCTGTTTTGCATAATCATTGTGTTCTAAATGACGCTTGTATTGCTTCCATACTTAGATAGTGATTGTGGTGAGCACTTTCTCCTGCCTGCTTGGCATATACACCAACCCCAAACTGACTATGCTGAAGAAAAGGAACAAGATGACATACTAAAATAAGAACTTTCCAGCTAATATTTAATTAGTAATTAAACTTTTCCAGAAGATGAAGCTGCAGATTTATGAAAGCTTTTTTAAAATCTAAAACTGATTCAGCAATAGATTCTCCAATAAACATGCTAAAACATGCTAACACCTTTTGTTTTAAAACATGCTAAAATCTTTTGTTTTAATAATTGAAAACTTTCTAATACAACTTACTACAAGTTGAAGAAATATCATATTTGGTAATATAGTGGCTGCACTTAGAAGGTTAACTTCTAAATTATCTAATTTATCTAAAATTCTCTGTGAACTGTTACCATTCAAACCAGTTCCGTGGTAACCTCTAAAAATTATATAATTCAACAGTGTAATTAATATTTTTACAAACATAGAAGTAATACCAATAGGAATGTGTAACTCTGGTAGAGGAAAGAGATGTTCTACTAAAGTTTAGGTTCATCAAGATACACAACTCTAGGAGAAATACAGTTTTTAAATTACATCATGTGATTTTTTTGCATCCATCTTCAATGAACTTGTTGTAGTTGATATCAATTGAACCTAAGGTTGTTTTTTTTCCGCTCTTGAGAATACTTTCCTTTTCACACCAGAGACAGGCATACTTGCCACTGTGACTGCTTAAACCACATTTTAGAAAAAGAAACAAAGAGTTACCACATTTTAGAAAAAATGCTATTGAATATTTTACATTATTCAGAGTGGATTCAATAGTTTGTTAAGATTATGATTATGCTCTGAAACATCTTCAACTAAAGCCAAAACTAATGATCTTTTTACACCGAAATCATCAAGACTTTCTAAAATTGTATGTTTACATAGTGGATCAAAAACATTTATAACACATCTAAGAAAACCCTGTCCACCATCAATAGAAATCCTAGCAATAGTTCAATAAGGATTCAAACCTCTTCCATTAATCATACGAGTAATCAGAAATATCTTTTACAAATAACAAACTGTGATTTATCTCTTTATCCCTTGAAATGAATGATTCAGTATTGACATCATTAAAATCTGAAAATACGTTATGCAGCTCCTCTATCTGAGTTGATATGCTCTGCTACATTTATTATCAGGTGTATTAATACAATAACATTTTATAAGTCTATCATAGTCTATATATTGACTAGCATAGACTCTATGCTAATTTTTTTTTTTTTTTTTAACAGTAATTGAAGAAATAGTTTATTAACTAAAATATTATATAAGTTATACAATATTTTAAATTTGTTTAAGGAAACCATACCAATTGTAAAAAAGCAAGAAAGGCAAATCTTTTTAATAATTTTATCAACAATATCTTAATTATTTGTTGTGATCTGTTCAGATATTTCACTAATATCAGATGATCTTCTGAGTTTTTGTCTGTTAATTTGAGATATTTTCTCAATCCAATCATTTAACTTTGATGCTTCACCTCTGTTCAATGCATATAAATTTGTTTTGCAAGAATTACAAATGCTTTTTGAACAACAATCTTTTTCTACGTCATATTCTCTTCAAAATAAACCTCCCCAAGGCTGAGGTGGCCATATGTAAGGTCCAGCATTTGTAATATTAATTGTTTGTAATTTCATAAGCGAACAATTAGGGCATGATATCGCAAAAAATCATTTGGTTGAAAATAATCTTTTTAAAGAAAATCTTGAGAAGCATTTTTTTTGTGTCTGATCAAATTTTTGCTCAGGTTTTAAACCTACTGCTTTTCTGCACCTTTTTATACCTAATGTTGAAAACAGAAATTGATTTTTGTTTTATTTTGGAATAGATCATTTCTGGAACAATTGAGAACTTTAGAATTACAAAAGCATAGCTGGTTTAAGCAATAAGAGAATTGATATGAGACAAAAGGTCACCTGATGGTCTAGATCATCAGATCCGCTTGATTCTTTTCAATTGCAAATATTACAATTGACATACTTAGGGTCACTAATAAAGATATTAAAATGCTTCCAAACCCAGGTTTGTTGAGAAAATCTTTTCATCTTAGATAAAAATAAATGAATAGTCATAAAAAAAATATTTAAATAACTTTATTTGATTGTTTGATTATTTGTTGTTTTAATATTTCTAAAAAGCAGATAGATATGTGCTATTTACCAATTAAAAAATTAAACAATTGGTGAAAATTAAGCTTAAAATTTAATTTAGAAATGATAAAATATTTTGTGATTGTTAAAAATACAATTTTAAAAATTAAACAAAAATTTAGAACCATACAACTGAAATTATGGTTTCCCATTTCAACCGAAATTCAGTTTTATACCAAATTTTTAAAAATTATAAAAACCAAAATTTTGGTATCAGTTCAAATTGAAGTTTCAGCTAAATCTGAATTTCAGCCAATCACTAATTATCAAAAACTGTATTACTAACAGAAAACAACATATGAAGAGGTTATTTTCAAAATGCAAGATGTGCCAATTTAAAAAAAAAAACAGAGAAAACTTGTGGTTTGTTTTTAGTATATAAAGAACTATAAAATGGTGGATAGACTAAACAACTGCTCTCTTATTTCCGATTTTAGGAGGAGGTAAATACAATGCTCAAAAGAAGAAGAAAAAAAGCTTATTCTTTCTTATTTTTAGTGGAGATGAAATTTTCTTTATTGTGTCTATGTTTGTTTAACTGACTTTCTTATGTAATGATGATAGAAAAACAAGTTTAAATATTTAAAAATATTATATATTTATATTATATATTATATATTAAATATTATATATTTATATATTATATATTAAAAATATTTTGTTGTTAATCATCTTTTTATTGAGATTATTTAATATTAATATTTTTTTTTGACTTTTTATTGTTATAATTTTGGAAACCACTGATGCGCTTTTTGCAGAGAAAAAAATGAGGCTAATGCAGTGTTTCATTTTGATAAGTTTATTTAAAATTTTTAAAGATTTAATTATTTTAATTGTTGATTAGTCCCAAAATAAAAATTTTAAAAAGTTAAATTCAAAATAAATTCAAAACATTTTTGACCTTTCAGGCACATGAAATAGCATCAAAGGACCAGTTGTTAGTTCAAACTAACTTTTTCTTGCACCTAGACAAAGTGTCACAAGATGTAGCAATCTTAGCTACTCTTGGAACAGACACTATTAAAAGAGCATGAGTACAAGACCATTAAAAGAGCATGAGTACAAGACCATTATTCTGATAAATATTTATGCTGTGTGAAAGTATTTTGTCTTACAATTTTCAAATTTTTTTTGCCTTTAAATATTTTTCTGATTTAAAGAATACCACAGATAATTAATTTATTTGAGATATTTAACTTATTATTATTCTTGTTTGAGCAATAAAAACAGACTGAGTTTTGTCAATCAATGGTTTTAGCAACTAGATTTCAAAAAAGAGAAAACAGAAAATTAATGACGCAGACAAGAAAAATCTGTAAAAAAGACAGTTTTCAGAAAGTTACTTGTAGAGTTAACAACAACATAAATGGGTTGTCTACGGTTAATTTCTTGAGAAAAAAAATATATTTTAGAAACCTACTCATTACTCATACTTTCTCTGAACAAGAGCATTCATACCTTCTAGTAAATAAATAAGTAAAGTTCATGTTCAATAAATATGAGATTATAGCAACAATCAAAAAATATGAGATTATAGCAACAATCAAAAAATATGAGATTATAGCAACTGATGTCTACAGAGACATTAGCCATAGACTTAATGGCTAAGTTTTTGTTTATGGTCTGAGCCGACCTCACACAACTTATTTAAGAAGGGGAAGAAACATGACAATTTTTTAAAAAAATATTTAAAAAATGCTAAAAAGAAAGATTTGTATTCTAAATGCTGTTGGTGCAAATGATGTCAGGCTTTCTCATAAAAAGCATACAAAAAAAAAACTTTTTTGATTTAGTCGAAGCTTGTCTTCTCCGTTTTGTTGTAGACCATATAGACTTCATAATATACACCGCAATCTACAGACTTGATAATTTATTCATTTTAAGTGCATTTTTATTTCAATGAGTTTTAGTACATGTCATTGACTTTTTTGTTTGTGTACATGATCTTTTTAAAATGAATGATAAAATAAATTAAAGATAAATAAGAAAAAATAAATGCATAAAATTAATGCTTTTTTTTTAATTTAAAAATAATAACAAGTTTTTTGATTTTTTTACTTCATAAAATTTAGAAAAGATCAAAATTTTGAAGTTATATAATTAAAGCTTAATTACTTTGAAACTGAACTATTT